GCCTGTGATCCATGCGACCCCAGCCCTGGGAGGTCGAAGCAGGAGGACAGGGTGATTTCCATCCGCCTGTGATCCATGCGACCCTGTCTCAAAGAAACAAGAACAACAAACTGGTGTATAGGAGGACAAACTGCATTCATGGCTGGCCATCCTGGCCTTGCCGCCTCCTTCCCGCCGCCCCTTGACACTAACCGTCTCGGCATGTTTACAGAGTAAGCTCGGCCACGCAGTACAACAGGGGGTCACAAGCACGGCACCCTTTTCCTCTTGGAAGCTTGCCTGCCGCTTTTTTCTCCTAATTAGCATCGAGCCGCCCAGGACAGGTGCAGTCTCCTGGGGTCTCACCACACCGCATCTTCGGGGGGGGGGGGTGTGTGTCCCTTACCACACTGCACCTGGGGGGGGGGGGTCTCACCACACTGCACTGCTCTCCGGTTTTCTCACACATGGTTCCAAGGGGGCTGCATCTGCTCTGGGCCAGCTCCCCATCCTGCTCCCATGGTCCTTTTCTCTTCCCGCACTAGCTTCCGCAGCATTTTCTTGCAGTGATCTGGGCCCACGTTTTCCTTTATGGACTGGAGCTCCCTCGAAGGCTCTGTGTTGAAGATTCTGCAGACTCTGTTAGAACTCCAATGCCGTGGAGAACTGTAGCAGTGCAGATCAAAAGCCACAATTGTGTTGGGCTATCTCTAGTGCCCTTGCTAGCCCTTTTTGCCCGCCTCTGTGTGATTTAACAACATCCTTCCGGGTGTAGGGCAAGACCTTTGGGAATGTATTAAAGCAGCCCTGGAGTTTCCACCCACACGGATAGATGCTAAGAATCCCATCAGCATCTAAACCCGCATGAGATTCCACCACTGTGCTGTTGGATACTTACCCAACATCATCACCAAAGCATCTGCACATACCTTGACTTGTAACTGGCTCTGTTCTGTGACTATAAAGGTAACCACTTCCATGGTGGCTTAGATTCTGTGTAATCTGAATTAATGTTTCTGGGCGTGGTCACTCATGTTTGGTTCAGAATAAACCTTCCTACTGTCTTTGTTTTGTTCCACCCAAGCAAGCAGACCACACAACACAATGGCACAAGTGTGTCTTCATAGCTATAAGGCCACATGTGAATGCTTGCCACTATTTTGCTTAAGAAAGAAATCAATTTCAAAAGTTTACACAGCAAAGGTGTGTGTGTGTGTGTGTTAAAACTTCAATAGACTTTGTCATTTAATTTTAGTTCGCAGAAATATAAAAAGTGCAAACTCGGTAATTAATTGGTTTATATATTCTGTGACAATAAATATTCTAATTTGTGACACCTGAAAGTTATAATTCTTTACTCAGAAGATTTACCTATCATGCATTAAAATAAAAAGATACCTAACTCCATAAAGATAAAAATCTTAACTATATCATCCAGAAAAGTACATAATACATTGTCATTGCTGGGCCATGCCTCCAAGTCTGCCAAATTATAAAAATGTATTTAGCATACATAAAATATCCATTCTCTCACCAAAAGTACAAATCTAATACAAAAATGTTCGATGTTTACAAACTGGAAGGTCCGCTGGAGAGCCTGTGACATAGGACGGTTTGACATTGGAAACTTCAATGGCAAAAATATAAACAATTTTAAAGTATTATTACAGATATAAATAATTTAATTTGAAAGTTTGGGACTTTATGTAACCTTTGAATATAGACTAATAGCTTGAAAGGTTTTGAACTGAAAATTCAGAGCAGAAAAACTAAAGCAAGAACGTCATGACTCAGACTGTTCTGTGATCCTGAGAGAGCCACCTTCCACACACTGTAGGCAAGTGAGGAATGCTTGGTAAGAGAGATAGTTTTCTCTCGAGTTACCAGGTTTCCAGGACTCGGGGCCACTGCTTTCTCTTCAGAACCCCACCCCACCCCGAGCTTCTCGGATGTACTCGGCCATCGAATGCAGGCCTGTCATCTTCCTCTCTTACATCTTCACTCCCTACAAGACCCACATCAGGATATCACTATGAACACTTACTTCAGTAATCGTCCAATCAGAAGTGGCTGACCCAGGGCTAAGGGACAGATAATGATGATACAGACAGAGTTCGTGAGGAAGGACTTCCACCAAAGACAACACTTCCTCAAACAAGATTTAAATGTTTTCAGGGGTTACTGAACCCAGGCCTCCAGCACACCAAGTACTCTACCACTAGAGGTAATCTTCAATGCCAGATTAGGATACCCCATCCTTCCATATCAGAGTAAATAATATGAAATCTGACAATATTCTAGCTGGCTTGTTACTTTTTTACCTCCTAAGATTTAATATATTGATATCATAAACCAGGTGTGATAGCACACGCCTTTAATCCCAGCACTCAGGAGGCAGAAGCAGGTGGAGATCTCTGTGAGTTCAAGGCCAGCCTGGTCTACAGAGCTAGTTCTGGGACAGCCAGGGCTACACAGAGAAACCTTGTCTGGAAAAAAAACAAACAAATTGGTATCACACAAACTTGTGGCTCAGACAGTAGGATCTGTAAATGAATTGTACTCTAAAATGAAAACCTTGAGTTCAATGAAAATTTAGAAACCTAAAGATGACTGAGCCAAATTATGGCAAAGGTTCTTAAAAGTGCCTGAGGTATTTATTCAAAACCACAGCTGTGCAGCGCTGGGCACAGAGAAAACTGAATCAGCAGTAATGCTCAGCAATGAAGGACTAAAACAACTTTGAGTTCTTTTTATAATATCCAATAACCAGGGTAAGAGGTGAGTGACTGAATCCTGGCAGCAGACAACCCCGCAGGTCCATCACCACCAAATACCCTCAGGAAAAACCTACACTCACGCTACAATAGCCTTTGTGGGAAAAGTTAGAGCAGTGGTTCTCAACCTGCCTAATGCTGTGACCCTTTAGTACGGTTCCTCATGGTGTGGTGACCCCCAACCATACAATTATTTCGTTGCTGCTTCATAACTGTAACCTTGCTATTGTTATGAGCTGGAATGTAAACATCCCATATGCAGGGTTGTTCAAACCCCCAGGGGTTGTGACACCTTGAGAACCACTGTGCTAAAGGGTTTCTAAAAGTTAATCATCACACACTTTTCACCACAGAAGCACTCCTAGAACACAGGTTTCCGGCGGGACTGGCAGCAGGACGCACTTCTGATGGTGATCTTGATCTCTGCTCTCCTGTGTTGCCTCCCTCTGAGAACACTGCAGACAATCCAGGAGGGGATGTGTGTGTGTGTGTGTGTGTGTGTGTGTGTGTGTGTGTGTGTGTGTGTGTGTCAGGGGGTGTGTCTACCGTACGTGCATTAGGGGCAGGAGGTCGAGTTCGGCCTTCTTCTATCCCTCTCCACCTGAGGTTTTTGAGGCAGAGTCTCTCCTTGAGCCTGAGTTGTTTCAAGAAGACTGCCTGACAGTGAGGAGCTCGGGGATCCTCCTGCCTCTGCTCCCCAAGCACCAGGATTACATCTGTGCTTAGCCATGCTCGGCTTGGTTGCTGTTGTGTTTGTGTGTGCTGGGGCAGGAACCCGGGTCCTGTGTTGGTGTGTGCTGGGGACAGGAAACCGGGTCCTGTGTTGGTGTGTCAGGCACTGCATGGATTGAGCCACCTTCCAGCCCTGGGGCTGGAATGGTTGACGCACCTTGAGCTGCAGAGCACCTTGGCTTTGATAAGTTAAGCGTGGAGTTCCCGGTTATTAACATGTTTATATAAAAATAATATCGAGTTCCTGGTGCTGAGGTCTGCGTCCTAGCTACTGCCCCATGAATGATGAGTGACTGACTGCAGTAAGCTGACAGCCACTGCTGTTCCTGAGTCTCGCTGCATGTAATCAGGGGTAAGAATTTTGTTCAGAGATCCTGCCAGCCTCTGCCTCCTGTGTGCTGGGACTAGGTGTGTGCCACCAGGCCCAGCCAGGAATGTCTGTGCTACAACGGTCATAGGGGTATTTCCAGGATAAAGTAAAACACTAGAAAACACTTTAATTTTTATCTAAACACAAGAGACATGCTACAGTTCACACTAGCCCACTCGGATCTATGTTTAATGTAGGCGCTGCCACAAGATCACAGGGTGAATATTTAGTTTGATTTTATTTTAAAAATAATAAATCACAAAACTAAAATGTTTGAACAAGGTCACTTAACCCTCTCCCAGGTCAGTTATTTTATCATTTGACTTCTTTATTACTCTGAAGCTACATATTTAAAAGAGGAATCTTTACTATGCCAGCAACACCAGGAGGCCATCCCTGGCACAGGTGGTCTCTTCCACGGGGCTTTCTCCTCTGCTTTCCAGGTGCTGACCCAGGGTGAGGGGCAGAGGGTCACTCGCAGTTTCTCACTGAGGGACCAGTTCCTTCAGGGAGGCCAGAGCAGCATGGACGCGGACATGCAATCTGTTTTCAAAGTCGTAGCCGGAAAAGTCCTCCTGCAAGAGCCGGATAAAGATGACTGTCCCGGGTGTCACAGGACAGCACACACCGCATCTTACAGCCCTGGAGAAACTCCCTACCTCCCAGAGGAGACTTCACATCCACCTCATACTCTCACTCCCTATCACTCAGGCACTGTGT